GTTCAGAGTCAGAATTGAATGAATTTAAAACAAGAACTGAAATAAAACAGTTCTTACTCTTATTTATATGTATCCTTTTAAACAACCTTTTCATTTTCACTTCTCTCTGTCTTCTTGTGGAAAACACAAGAAAAAAAAGAAGAACTCTGGGATAGGCAAAAATATTACCAATTGGAACACCCCCCTACACAAAACACTAAACAGTTAATAGAGTTTTGAAATTCCTTACCATTTAGAAGAAAAGTCTAATTTAATTTTTATCAGCTTTTCTCTTTAATTCAAAAGATAACACCATCTGCTCTGCCAAGGAGGAGGTGTAGTAGGGATTACATCATATCTCTCCTCTCTCTGCAGTAAAAGGAAACTATAGTTCCCATCAACCGCAGGAAATTGTAGTGAATGTGGGCGGGTACACTAGGCCTGTACATGTTGAATGTGTGTGAGAGTCTTGGTCCACCCACCACTGCAAGAGGGGCTGAATTACTTCACTCTTTCCTGGAGAAAGAACTAATGAAGGTATGTGCAAAGACCAGTGGCTGGGAAATAGGAGGCATAGCAGCCACTAGTGTTACAAACAAGAAACTGAAGAGAATGAACAGTTTGATATAAAAATCAATAGGCTATTTCAGAACAACTACTGAGCGAACCAGAAGATAGATGACATATTTAGCGAAGGTAGGAAATCGGCAACAAGGACATGCAAAGAAGTTTTTGCCCGGAGGTCTGCTTTGAATTATATCAAAATGTAAAATTATATATTCATTTCTACATTGTATTTCAGTTATTTCTAGACTACTATTAACCAGAATGATCTTGTAGTCTTGAGTTTGCAAATGTACTATGTGAAGGTCCCTACACATTTACTTCCTTGAATTCTGTGACACATATTCACTATTCCCTGTGAGTAGGCACTGCTGTGTCACACATTTCACAGAGCCTGCCTTCTGAATTACAGAGGTGCTGAGAGGAGGAGTTTCAGGAGGTGGAGGCAGTACAGGAATCACTGCTTGCATTCAGCAAGGTACCATGGGATGTGTGTGACGGGCGCGGCGTCAGACCCTCAGCCCTTCTCACCGACTTGTGACCGAAGGACTAGCCAATCTAAAACCACACTGCCACTTGTGTGTCAATGCCACACTCAGCTGCACCCTGCACAAAGATTTTCCAGCTCACTGGACCACAATCTATGTGCTACAGCCTGAGAGCGATTGTTACTGGGTCAGGTTAATTACGCAATTAACCCTTCACACTGCCACCACCACCTTTTTGTACAGAGAAGGAGGAAACTCACAAATCTTAACAGTAACACTATGATGTTTGAATAAGCGTCTGTTTACACACTGTCACCGCAGGCAGATGTATGCAGAAGTTTTAAAACAAACAGTAGCGCTCTTCAGAGACAGGGATTCTTAGTTTGCATTAAAAAGCTTTAGGAACAGTTCAACACTTTTCAAAAATAGGATTTATTACTAAAAAGGTCAAAATGGTGCAATAAAAATATTTACAGAAAAAGATGTAGCCAATATATATATATATATATATATATATATATATATATAAATATTATATATATATATATAATATAATATATATATATATATAAATACAGAGAGCAATAATACAACAGAGAGATAACAGAAAGAAGTTTAGAGAGGTAGAATACTTGCCAGAGTCCTTGGTTTAAGCAGATTCAAATGTCCTGAACAAAAGGGTACAGTTTCTCCCAAAGTTGGTTCCTGATGTTAAAAAGGGAAAATCTCTTCATCTTTCCTCTCTCAGGCCTGACAGGCTGTTTTCTAGTCCCCCAGCAGGGGGGTGTCTACTGAAGGCAAGGGACAATCACCTCATTTGGGGAGGGGGTTTAGGCAGAGACCCCAGCTGTGACCCAAATCCCTCACAAGTCCACATCATGGTAGAATAATGTGCAGAATCATATTCTGAACGTCCAGACACTAGATATCACATATCTGCCTGTTACGGTTAAAGAGATATCGCTTCCTGCTCTCGGGTAGACGTAATCTAGGGATGTAAGGTATCAGGGGACTCGCATTAAACTGACCTATCTGAATATATGCTTTGTTCCATGGTACCTGTTTCCTGCCGGGAGTTATGAAATTGTATGACAAAGTGGTTTTCAAGTGGGATGTACAGTCAGGTCCATAAATATTGGGACATCGACACAATTCTAACATTTTTGGCTCTATACACCACCACAATGGATTTGAAATGAAACGAACAAGATGTACTTTAACTGCAGACTGTCAGCTTTAGTTTGAAGATATTTACATCCAAATCAGGTGAACGGTGTAGGAATTACAACAGTTTGCACATGTGCCTCCCACTTGTTAAGGGACCAAAAGTAATGGGACAATTGGCTTATCAGCTGTTCCATGGCCAGGTGTGTGTTATTTCCTCATTATCCCAATTACAATGAGCAGATAAAAGGTCCAGAGTTCATTTCAAGTGTGCTATTTGCATTTGGAATCTGTTGCTGTCAACTCTCAAGATGAGATCCAAAGAGCTGTTACTATCAGTGAAGCAAGCCATCATTAGGCTGAAAAAACAAAACAAACCCATCCGAGAGATAGCAAAAACATTAGGCGTGGCTAAAACAACTGTTTGCAACATTCTTAAAAAGAAGGAACGCACCAGTGAGCTCAGCAACACCAAAAGACCAGGAAGACCACGGAAAACAACTGTGGTGGATGACCGAAGAATTCTTTCCCTGGTGAAGAAAACACCCTTCACCACAGTTGGCCAGATCAAGAACACTCTCCAGGAGGTAGGTGTATGTGTGTCAAAGTCAACAATCAAGGGAAGACTTCACCAGAGTGAATACAGAGGGTTCACCACAAGATGTAAACCATTGGTGAGCCTCAAAAACAGGAAGGCCAGATTAGAGTTTGCCAAACAACATCTAAAAAAGCCTTCACAGTTCTGGAACAACATCCTATGGACAGATGAGACCAAGATCAACTTGTACCAGAGTGATGGGAAGAGAAGAGTATGGAGAAGGAAAGGAACTGCTCATGATCCTAAGCATACCACCTCATCAGTGAAGCATGGTGGTGGTAGTGTCATGGCGTGGGCATGTATGGCTGCCAATGGAACTGGTTCTCTTGTATTTATTGATGATGTGACTGCTGACAAAAGCAGCAGGATGAATTCTGAAGTGTTTCGGGCAATATTATCTGCTCATATTCAGCCAAATGCTTCACAACTCATTGGACGCCGCTTCACAGTGCAGATGGACAATGACCCAAAGCATACTGCAAAAGCAACCAAAGAGTTTTTTAAGGTACAGCAGTGGAATGTTATGCAATGGCCAAATCAATCACCTGACCTGAATCCGATTGAGCATGCATTTCACTTGCTGAAGACAAAACTGAAGGGAAAATGCCCCAAGAACAAGCAGGATCTGAAGACAGTTGCAGTGGAGGCCTGGCAGAGCATCACCAGGGATGAAACCCAGCGTTTGGTGATGTCTATGCATTCCAGACTTCAGGCTGTAATTGACTGCAAAGGATTTGTAACCAAGTATTAAAAAGTGAAAGTTTGATTTATGATTATTATTCTGTCCCATTACTTTTGGTCTCTTAACAAGTGGGAGGCACATATGCAAACTGTTGTAATTCCTACACCGTTCACCTGATTTGGATGTAATTACCCTCAAATTAAAGCTGACAGTCTGCAGTTAAAGCACATCTTGTTCGTTTCATTTCAAATCCATTGTGGTGGTGTATAGAGCCAAAAATGTTAGAATTGTGTCGATGTCCCAATATTTATGGACCTGACTGTATGTTTTACTGCTACTTCGGAATGCTTTTCAAGTCCAGTGACTGACGGGTTTATAGCTTTACGATCCGGCCAGAGCAAGAGTCTGTTAGACACCCTGGAACCAACTAATTGGGTTTACAACCATGAAGTGTATCCAGCTGTGCCCTGTGCACTCCTGAACTCAGCACACACACAGGCCACATGCCATTCAACAAAAAGGGAGGGGGACTGATTTGGAGTGAGAATGACACAAGATGGTGGATCTTGAGCAAAATGGATGTCCGCGTCCCTATCTGTATGTATGATTGCTACAATGTGTACTCCTTAGAAACTGAATGTAAACAGCAGAGAAGAAGCTGCAAAGCTTGTAGGGAATACAGGGAGTTGTGGAAAGAGATGTCAATCTGACAGGCAGAACTCACATCAGGAAAGGTGATTTTTCAAGTATTGGGTTGTCAAATATAACTATTGTTTGTATTGCAATTATAATGCTGATGTTATAAAATAAAAGTGCATGCTGTGCTTCTTTAAAGCCCAAATTTCAGCAACCAAAAAATGACCTCTTGCAGTAGGGCTGTGCAGCACTGCAAAGGTTAATTGCTTGTATAGGGGAAAGGAGAAACAGTTTTACAAACCTGATTCTCTGCTCCTCCAGCAATTGGCATTCCACCACTCTCTGGTAGTAGGTTGTCCTACTGCATCAACATGTCTAGTGCTGGGCTACATTGGAGAAGAGGCTGCAGTTCACAGTGCAGAGCCAGGGGAGGACAGATGCAGCATCGGATCAAGCTGCATCCACCTAGATGAGTATAAATCTTTTTTTTTTTTTTCAAAAGCCGTGCTTCTGTTTTAACCACTTGCCTGATGCCCTATTGTAGAAGTACTGCTACAGGGCAGCAGGGCTGCTCAAAATCATGTATATATATTATTTTGCATATCTGGGTAAGGGGTGCATGCTCGTGCCGCCCTATTCCCGCTGCTATTGGTGGCTCGAGATGTCAGTCACCGGGTCCTGGCCGGCAATTCCCGGCCAGCTCTTGGCGATTGTCGGGGAAAAGCTGACAGGTGAGAGAACAACACAGGTCTCCCTCCTGCCAGCAAGGACATGCTGCTTTGTATTTCTCTGCACATCAGCATGTCTCCTTAGTAAAACACATGCACAAAATGTAAATCACACAGCGCATAATGTAAAACACACACAGCACTCCGTTAACCCTTTGATTGCCTCAGATGTTAACCCCTTCCTGCCCAGTGTAATTAGTACAGTGTCAGTGCTTTTTATTATCACTGATCACTGTATTAGTGTCACTGGGGATGTCAGTGTCACAGTCCGCTATAAGTCACTGATCGCCACCATTACTAGTAAAGGACATAAATTTAATTTACGTACAGGGTTTCATGACCTCGCAATTGTCAGTTAAAATAACGCAGCGCCGTATCGCAAAAAATTGCCTGGTCAGTAAGGGGTGTAAATCCTCTGGAGGGCAAATGGTTAAAGCTCAGAAATACCATCATTGACTCCCCCAGTTGTACTCACCCCATCCCCCTAGAATGTATAATGCATGCCAAGTGCATGCATTTTATTTTTTTACAGTTATCAACACATTAACCATTTTGCTGCCAGATACTTTTTTTTTTTTTCATTTTTCAGTAATACTTAAAGTGTTACTAAACCCAGGACCCTGCATCAACTATATCTGGTCTCCCACAGTACACAGAACATGAAAGTGCGATTATTTTAGTAAATATAAACTGCTAAATACCTTTTTTTTTATCAGAAGTTAGAGCAGTCTTGTGACTTCTATCATTGTGCAGCCCAGCACTAGCTAAAGCTTGTAGGAGGAGTTTTCATTCTGCTCTAGGAGGATGCAAAACCCCTGACCTCTGTCTCGACAGTACTCATTGGCTCTGTGCTGATCACATGCGCTCTCCCAAGAAAAAAAAAAAACCTCTCTAGCAATACACACCAAACTAAGCATGTGCAAAATGCCTACCGTTCAGTCTGTCTTATCAGGAGATAAGAGGTTGTCACTTACACAAGGGGAGGAAGAGAGCAATCAGGATCAAACCGCCTTTTTACACAATGCAGAGGATTAACCCCTTAGGTTCCACAGTGAGTATAACAAGCATGCTTCACTGCATATACATATTGATTTTACTGTTGTGGGTTTAGTAACACTTAAATGACTTATACCCCCAAAACATTATAGTGGAGCTTCAGTCATTTTTGTAAAAATTGTCAGTCAGAAGCTACTGACTTTTAATAAACAGACACTCACCTGCCCCAGATCCACTGGTGTGCTCACCTGAAGGGGCGCCGTGTATCGTTGTTGGTCCCCAGTGCTGGCATCTTAGCTGTGGGCACCCAGCTGTGACAGCTTGCAGCTTCACAGCCTTGTGCCCACTTCGCATGCGCGAGCTCTCATTGGTCCCGCAGTCTTTTGGGACCTGTACTGTGTTGCAGAAGACTGCAGAGAGGGAGGGGGGCAGGAATTCAAGTCAAAATCAGGTACCTGTTCCTTCCCCCCCCCAAAAAAAATTGGCAAATGTGAAACTGGGGGGAGGAGGCCTTAAAGCGGAACTTCCTCTTTTGGGTGATATTCCACTTTATCTATGTGCCTTAATGTTCTGGGCACCCAGAAGGAACAGGTAAGCCCGGTACACAAGGCCATGTGCTTGGGAAGGGGGGGGCACTTTTCAGTAAATGTGAAAATTATAGCTTTAGCTCCACTCCAATCACTTTCAAAAGAAAGCCAACATTGCAGTGTAAAAATGTAAACAAACTCTTCTCTGCTATAGTTGCCTAGAGTCTTTGTACACGTTGGCGATTGCCATGTAGTTGCCCACAGGAGTTCATTCATCTTGGTGCCCAGGTATGCTGAGTATGCACACGGAGCTGCACATTCACAGCTTAGTGTAGATTCGAAAGAAAACTGTGAATAGGCAGGTAAGTTTGTGTATTGCAGAAGTTACATAGCAGGTCTGTTCAGTGAAAAAGAGCCTGCCTGCTTGAAGTTTTCTTTTTCACACTTTAGTTCCCCTTTAATAGATTTCCTTTTTCCTTGTCTCTAGCAAGCAGATCTGGGTTGTTTTTCAAAGGGGGCTACAAGCTCAGACCAGGTCTTTTTATTATTAAAATGTTTCAATAATTTTGAAGGGGTTTCTTATTCCTCTTTAGTATTGAGTCCTTTTTTCCTGTTTTTTGCCACCCATATTTACGTTTACAGCATATGATTTCATTTTATGCTTGAATTTAGAAAAGTGTTTAATTCTATCTTTTTTTTTAACCACTTGCACTCCAAAAGATTTACCTCCCTTCATGACCAGGTCATTTTTTGCTGTTCGGTGCTGCGCTATTTTAACTGGCAAATGTGCAGTCATGCAATACTGTACCTAAACGAAATGTATGTCCTTTTTTTTCTCACACAAATAGAGTTTTCTTTTGGTGGTATTTTATCATGACTGCGTTTTTTTTTGTAATTGAAAAAAGACCGAAAATTTGGAAAAAAAAACACCCAATATTTTCTACTTTCGGTCATAAAAAATATACAATAAACTCAAAGTTAGTCATAAATTTAGGCCAAAATGTATTCTGCTACATGTCTTTGGTAATAAAAATCCCAATACTGTACGTGTATATTAATTGGTTTGTGTGAAACTTAGAGTGTCTACAAACTATATATTGGAATTTTTTTTAGCTTTTACTTTCTGACAGCCTATCATATTTCTTGAGGTGCTAAAATGCCAGGGCAGTACAAAAACCCTACAAATTACCCCTTTTTGGAAAGTAGACACCCCAGGGAATTTTCTGAGAGGCATGTTGAGTCCATGAAAGATTTTTTTTTTTTGCCACAAATTTGTGGAAAATGACAAAAATGTTTTTTTGGTTTTTTTTTAACATAGAGTCGCTTAAATTCTATTTTGCTCATGCATGCCATGGCTATATGTGGAATAACACCCCAAAACATATTCTGCTACTTCTGCCGAGTTTGAGGATACCACATGTGAGAGACTTTTTGGCAGCCTAGCCACACAAAGGCCCCCAAAATCCAATTACCACCTTCAGGCTTTCAAGGGCCATATTTCCTCATGTCACTTTCTTATTACCCATCACAGTTTCGGAGGCCTTAAAATGCCAGGATAGTACAAATACCCCCGTTTTTGGAAAATAGACACCCCAAGGAATTTTATAACAGGCATGTTGAGTATTTTGCAGATAGAATTTTTGTCACAGGGTTTTGAAAAAGAAAAAAAACATTTTCATTTTCTTTCTTCATTTTCCAAAACCATTGTGGCAGCAAATGAGATTTGCAAAATACTCACCATGCCCCTTATCAAATACCTTGGAGTGTCTACTTTCCAAAAAAGGTGTCATTTGGGGGGGTTGATTCTACTATCCTGGTATTTCAGTGCCAACATTAGAAGCTTATGCCACACGTCGCCCACTTTTCTAACCACTTGAAGAAGTCTTTTCTGACACTTTTTGTTTACATGAAGAAACATGTTTTTTTTTGTAATAGAAAATTACTTTGAACCCCCAAAATATTTTTTTTTAAAGCAGAGGCCCTAAAGAATAAAACGGTGGGTGTTGAAATGATTTAAGTCACACAGTATTTGCTCGGAGATTATTCAAACGCTAATTTTTTTTTAAAAATACACTTTGTGGAATTTTAACCACTTGCCTACCGCCATATAGCAGATATACTGCTACAAGGTGGCCGCTCTGCGCAAAATCACGTATATACTGTATACGTGATTTTGCAGTCCTTGGTAGGGGTACCCATGCTGCTATTGGTTGCAGTAGATGTCAATCACTGGGCCCTGGCCGGAGATTCTCGGCTGGCACTCAGTGATCATCAGTGAAGCTGAGAGGGGAGAGATCTGTGTGTAAACAACACAGCTCTCTCTCCTGTCAGCATGGAGAGAAAGCAGCATGTCTCCCTAGTAAAACAGCACACAGTACACAGTGTAAGCACAACACTTTGATCGCTCCAGATGTTAACCCCCTTCCTTCCCGGTGTCATTAGTGCAGTATCAATGTTTTTTATTTTCATTGATCACTGTATTAGTGTAATTGGAGATGTCATTTCCCACCCAGTGTCAGAATGCCCGCTGCAGTCCTGCTATAAGTTGATGATCTCTGCCATTACTAGTATAAATAAATAAATATTACAGTATATATAAGTATATATATACCGCCTTTTTTTAGATGCTATATTTTCACGTAAACCAATTAATTTACACGTATTGGGATTTTTTTTTGTTAGCAAAAACATGTAGCAGAATACATTTTGGCTTAAATTTATGAAGAAATTAACATTTTGTTATTTTTTTATTGGATATGTTTTATAGCAAAAAGTCAAAAATATGATGGTCTTTATTTGTTTATAGAGCAAAAAATAGAATTGCAGAGATGATCAAATACCACCAAAAGAAAGCTCTATTTGTGGAAAAAAATGACATATGGGGGAGGGCAAGTGGTTTTAATCAAAGTAGTACAATGTTGCCATAGTTGCTAAACTTTTTTTTTACACTTTGCATTGCAGGACCAATAAAGATTCTTGTTCCTGCAATGGAATACTTGATTTGAACTGTCAAGAATGGGTTAAGTTCATGAAATTCAAAATACAGTTATCTGTGATTGGCTCCAGCTGGTCACATGGTACAGGGTGCTGTGATTGGCCCATGTACCATGTGAGAGCTGTGGGCTAGTCACAACTCACCAAAAAGAGAATCAGAGCTGTTATGAATCAGTTTCATTTATAACAGCTTTGCAAACATTGTGATCATGTGATCCCATATCAATCACATGACTACCGGGTCTCATTCACTGGGATCTGCATTCCTCCGGGGGGGGGGGGGGGACACGTACTCCTGTGTTGACACGAGCAGAGTGATGTACAGGTACATCACTTTGCCCGTAGCTGTCGTCCGTCCACAGTACATTGCGGGCGGAAGTTTGGGAAGCGGTTAATGTCTGTTTTTTATTTTATATGTCCTTTCCTTTTAGTTTTTTTTGCTAACTGCGGAAGTGAACCACATTGATTTCATTTTTATCCTTTTAAGCTTATCGCCAATGGGAATACATTTTGCAATATATGCACATAACGTCAATTTAAAACAATACCATTTCTGTTATGTGTTTCTTGATGACAATAATTCCTTCAAATCTAATGCCTAGTACACGATGAGAACACTGAACGAATGATCATCCATTTTTTTGCATGCTAATCTCATGTTGAAAATGAAGAGGTTACTAAAGTTACAAATATTCTCGTAATACAGAATACATCTGAAGTGATGTATTGTACTGTAATGTATTCTTTAGTTTCCAATCATGAGTGGTCTTGGTTACCTAATTTTTTTTCCCCCCATTTCATCTTCCAAGACAGCACATGAGAGAGGCTCCGCCCACTTAAAACAGGAAAACCATCATCCACAATCAAATAAAAAGACCACAGGCATCTAGTTTCCTCAGTATTTGTGTTTCCTCTGGCATAGCAGGAACGTCAAAATGGTTTGTTAGTCTTCCCTCAGGCCTTCGTGCTAATTGCAGGGGCCTCCTAGTATATGCTTCCCCATGAATATAAGGACAGTGGACTTGGAGGGGTCGCATATCTGGGGTTTTCTAGGCTACTTTTGTAAGTATCCTAGTTATGGGACTTTCTCTCTCCATTACCTTCTTGGTTTTCCTCAAGGTTCCTTCTCCGCCGAAGGAGAAGCAGCTATCCCCGTGGGTGCCGAGGCTCTGGTGGAGCTCTCCCTTACTCACACTTGGTCAAGCTCCAGGTCTTTGTTGGCTGGCTGAGCTCCTGATGTTTGCTGCTGATTGGTATGGATGGATCATGGGTTCTGGCTTCCCCAAATATTTTGGAGGGAAACCAGCATGACTGGGGCAGGCTCACACTCCACCCCTCTGCGTATCAGTGAGGCTGGAAGTCCCTGACTACTTCTAGATGGGGGGGGTACATGTCTGCTGAGCCAGGTGAACTGTGGTGGTAGGCCAGGACAGAATGCAGCCTTCTATGCCGCATGTCCCCCTGAATCTGCAGCAATATGGTGGGTTTGTGAGTATACCCTGGTCCCAGCATCCATAGGCAACCCCTCTGCGTATCAGTGAGGCTGGAGCAGAAGAATCTGGAGTCCCTGACTACTTCTAGATGGGGGGGAGGGTACATGTCTGCTGAGCCAGGTGAACTATGTTGGTAGGCCCGGACAGAATGCAGCCTTCTATGCCGCAGCTCCCCCTGTATCTTCAGCAATATGGTGGGTTTGTGAGTATACCCTGGTCCCAGCATCTATATACAACAGGGAGAGAGCACAAACAGGTGAGGATGGAGCAGTAGGCGGACTTGGATCTTCCCAGGAGTATTACAGCAGACTTCATCTGGTCGGCAAGGCTACACCATGCAGTCTGATTCTGCCATGACAGCTGCTATGAATCTGGCAGATGGCTCCAAGATAGGTTGGTTGGAGTTTTTTTTCCTCTAACTTTCCTTCCTACCATACCCATACTGTGGGGAGGCACAGTGTGGGGTCACACTTAGGAGGATGTTCTCTCTTTGGGTGTTAGTTGCTGTGGGTGTTTGCATGCCTCTTACAAGCACAAGCTGAATGTGCGTTGAGTTCCTGTCCACCATTAGTGGGGTAATTTGGAGGTGGAGGCCCTAACACCTGTCAATTTGCAGAGCGGAGTGCTGGCAGACTCAGAAATCAGCAGAAACTGCGACCTATTAACTCATTCCTACATTTATGTTACACTTGTGCAGGTGCAAAGCTACTGGGGTCTGCTTACTCCATGTTTACCATCAACTACACTCTCCTTTTTCAGCAAGGGCAGGTGCCAGTGTAGTGGGGTCTGCTGTGGTTTAATCAGGACTTTCTGTACTTTGATTTGGGTTAACCCACGCCAAGGCTGAACTAGAAATGTAAAATGTGGATCCTTCAACCTTTAATTGACAGGCTTCTGGCATAAACCTAAAATACAAGGGTTGCATAGACAAACCTGTTCAAAGGTTGCTCATTAATGCCTGCAGGTGTTGGCCTTCTGATTGCTCTGGTTCCACACTTCAAGGCTTACACCCCGGTCACATCATGTGTGACTTGGCATGCAATCTGCATACAATGCGACTTGCAAATCGCATGCCAAGTCGCACCCTATTGTCCGCAATTTCTAAAGTAGTATATGTACTACTTTTGGTGCGATTTGCATATACATCTGTGTCAGATGTCTTGCAAATTGCACCTGAAATCGGCATCTCACCCGACTTTGAAATCGTGCGACTTCACTATAATGATGTGACCTGGGGATAATATGGTTGCTACCTCTTCCAAAGGTGTCAGCAGCTTATAGATTTGGACTTGTTAAGACCATATGAGCTGGGAGGCTTTGCCTGTCTCCAACCAATTGCTATATAAAGCAATCTAGGTGTACAGCAGTGCATTGGGGGAATCGTTGTGTTCATGCATTGATTCAATACATGTTATTAAGGATACTCATATTTTGCTTCTGTTCCAACTAAACTATTTGGTTATGTCTAGGAGCTGAAGCTGTACCTATTATGGGTTATCAGTGTCTGCTATGCACTCCATTGGACCCCTACCACCTGGAGCTCCCTGGGTTCCTCCACTGGATAAATATATAATGGATTGGTAGCCAGAGACTAGGCTATACCTATTATATGTGATCATGCAAAATGTTGGCTTTGTGGCATAGGTATCAATTGCATATGTATTGCTGATTGTTGGGTATTAGATGAATACACTATGGCTTGTGCTATTTTGTTTATATTCTTTTGGTACCATTGTGGATCATGCCTCATATGTGATTCACGATCTGGACTCTGTCTATGTAATTGTTGAAATGGTCTGCTTGAAGTATAGGCCTCATTTGAATATGTGGCTACATGAATTGGGAGAATTTTCCTTAAGTGGAAATACCTGACCTTAACATTGACATGCAATATGTTGTCTTGATGCATTCGTGCTCATAGACAACAGAGGAGTAAATGTTTTTTTAGAGATAAAATCTCTGGTGACTGAGACCTTACCTGGGTATCTTTATGCAATTCTCAGGCCGTACATACATATGAATTCCACAACCTACATTATATATGTGGCATTTGTTATTACATTTGTCTTCTTTGAAAGATGGTATTTCTTGCAGAAGGTTCTGCAAGATTTGTTGTTTCTTGTATGAATACACCTCAATACTGGTCCTGTGTATTCTACAGGATACTTTAATTTTAAGTACATGACTTTGGAGGGTATGGGTCCTTGCATATGTACATAGAAGGCCCATGGGTTTGCCACCGAGCTATCATTCTGCAGAGGATCAAATCCTTTACATTTAACACACATTACCAGATGCACTCCCCATGCCTGAATCTGATAGGGAAAGAAGACATGGTTCCAGTCATCTCCCATTGAAAGTAGATGGAAGAAGAAAAATCTCCTTTTTTTTAAGCATATGACTCTGTAACTTAGGAGGTTTTCTCATCATATATTTATGGTGTTTTTCCTCTGAAGAAGGTGTTAACATAATAGTTGAATATGTGAAGCCACGCCGATTACAATACTGAGCCCTTTATATGAGGTTGCGTGGCCACTCTAATCTTTCCTTTGGTGTATATTATATATAGTAGTATATACTTTGTATGACTGTCGGTTCCTCCTAAGGCCTTTCGTGCCCAAGCACATCGATGATCGATGATGTGCTTGGGCACGAAAGGCCTTAGGAGGAACCGACAGAGCATGACGTCATCTCCCGCCCGGAGCCACGAGATAGCCCGGCGGCCATTTTAACTTAGGGTTAGTACCATCGCTGCGTACTCTGCTGTATTTCATTTACTGTACACAGCCTTACTACCCTGTATTAAACACTTCATTTTGATCTAATAAATTGGTTTGAAATACTACACTATGGGCACCTGTTTTTTGGTTCCTATTGGGAGCTAAATCAATTTGCAGGATCCCTGTAGTGTTCACCTACTACCACCGGAGGGACGGAGCTTTGGATTCTGGCTGATTACCATACCATCCTTAAGGGAACCTCCGGACTTCTCATATACCTTCCCAGGCTGATTGATCCACAGATTGGAGCTTACCCTTTTCATCTTCTATAAGGATTCCAGGGGATATTCATTTTATGCGCATTTTCCATGTGCATCCGGTGAGTGCGCACTCTTACCAGGGCCTAGACACATGCCTATTTTTTGTGGTGTTGTTTTTTTTCTGCCTGTGTGGTGACCCAGGAATCCTTACAGTCCTGTCCTTAATAGCCAAAAACTGTCCTGGTGCTACCATGCTACACAGGCATTGCAAGACCTCTCATAGGATATTCCCAGTCAACAATGATCTAATGCTCCAGTGCCCTATCCTACACCCCCCAAAGCCACTGCATGGCTTAGTGGCTATTCAGCAATCCAGCATGTCTTTCTTTTGTACACTGCTGGACAAGGGCATTATTTTTAGGAGCAGGTTGTAAGTAGATATTTAGCCTTCATGAAAGCCCACTATACATTTATCCCAGATTGGTTACTTGTTATAATAGATCTGAGGATCTGAATGCCTAAGCTACTGGCCTAGGTATTGGTGATTCCTTCCCTATTTTCAAACAAATCTTAAGATATGAAGTCAAGCCTTACTATTTTAACTTAAGCAATCCAAATTATAGGGAAAAAGTAAAGTAGCTTTTTGGTACTATTCACAGGATCCAAGTCAGTTGCTTGGGTGTCCAAGAACACCAAATGCAGGCGGATCACTTTCACCTTTTTGGGGCACACTGTAGATCATTTTAAAAGTAAAACCTTCCAGTGGATTTGGGTCATTTCATGGATCTTTGGTCTCAAAATGGACAAAAGAATAAGGGGTTTTGTCTCAACAGTTCTACAGAATTACCACCTAAGGTTTATGGAATAGTTTCTGGAAATCAGTAGTCAACCCCCACCCCCCGGAGTATTTCTATAATGTCCTCTCATGTGCTGTCCTGATGCAATGGGAAAACAAGAGTTATCTGATAACCCCAGTTCAATGAATCTTCCAGGACAGCATGGATTCCCACATTCTATTCTGGGTTGTATTGATTTATTCCATTATTCCATTTGTTGCCTTCAGTTCTTCCCTACTACTGAGGACACTAGGTGACTGTGCTTTTTTTATTTGATTGTGGATGATATGTTTCCTGTTTTAGGTGGGTGGAGCCTCTCTCATGTGCTGTCCTGGAAGATTCATTGAAATGGTGTTACCAGGTAACTAACTTGTTTTCATACAAAGACTATGCTAATTACACAAAAATCATTTGTTCTGTTATCTTATGAGAAATTTTTGTACTTGTCCTTTCAGATATTTTTGCATGAACTGTCGTGATAGGCTGTCTAAAGGTGTAATCTAAGAATAGATTATCAGATGATTGTTCTGAATACGTTTTTTTTCCCTGTCCAATTTTGTCATTGTTTGCTTGAACCAGGCATACGTGTCACTGTGGCAATAGTTCTTCCCCATTGCCAGTCAAATGCAGGCCTTAAAAAGGGAGATAATCCAAGAAGCCACCCTGTATTTACCAGCACACCTTGAAAGCAGACAACTCCCAACTTCAGATACACCCGAACTGGCAACAGCTGCCAACTAGACTAGATACAGAGTGAAATAAAAAAATCATGATAAGCAAAGAGCTTGCTGCAGCTGAGCACTTCTTTATATGGCACTAAAGGCCAGGTGTAACTGCGAATTTCCCAGATAGTAGTAATACACAAAACCAAAAGATGGCATGGGTGCACACCTTTAGAACACACAAGAGCAGTAATAAACTCAAACCACTAGATGGCGCACATCTGAGGGATATTCAAACCCTGTGTAACCAGGTGAGGCTTTAGGATTTGGATTAGCAACAGCAGTTTCAGTACCCCCTTCAGATCAATGCTGCAGCCACATAGGAGTAGGAATGTTTGTCTTTTTTTGTAATCCTGTACTTTTTAAATTATTTTATTTCCTTGATGCAAATGAGTTTGTAGGCCCCCTGTAAATCCAGCTTTGCAAAGATCAAAGCCCCACACAGTAGGTCAAACTGTTCCAAAATTAGTGGCAGAAGGTTGTGTTTTTTTTTTTTTTTTTTTTTTTTTTACAGCTATTTCATTTATTCCTCTGTAGTTTATGCAAGAGAAAAAAAACCAACATATTTCTTGTTGATAGAATCCTGCTTGGGAGGGTGAAGTTGATTTCCTAACGTCTCAAGTAAAGTGTAAGGTATGCCTAATGCCAGGGAGAGGTGTATCCAGAGAGCTGCTTGATGGTATAGTCATAGGGACCATTGCATTTAAGTGCAAACCATCTTTATCATATAGCTTGAACCCCAATAAAAAAAAAAAAAGTTTGTCCAGCGAGCTGGAAGCCCAAATCCTTTCCTTGTACTTGGCTGTCTAGCCATGCATTTAGCTTTCTAAAAGCTCCTAATTCCCTATTGCACATATATTTGAAACACTTGGTTTCACAACTGCAAATCATGTAGTGTTTCCATTATTTTGTCTAACCCCTGAACATGTTGCAAACTGTGCACTGAACAAAACCTTTAACCTGGACAGTTCAGAGCAGTTCTGATTGGTCAGCATGGTCATGTGCCAGAGCTGACTAATCAGAACTGCCCTGATCCATCCTGATGTCGCTAATGAAAGAAAAGGAACAGCAGTGCAGTTTCCAAACCCCAGGACTGTTGCAGCAGGGATTCTGAAACTGTATCATCCATAGAAATGAGTAGAGCAGGGATCAGGGAGGGTGTTAGTAAACCATTTCATTTTTTTTTTCTAAAAAGGTGAACTAACCCTTTAAAAATGTAAACCCAACAATTCATATTCCTAAAATGTGCCTGCTATACAATGTACTTGTATGAAAAACAGCCTGTTCTTTGTATTGCTTCCTTTGTGTGAAATCACTGGTGTTCCTGCCAGTCCCTCTGCTTTCCAGAGCAAATCATGGTCAGTTCTCTAGCTGTGCTGGGAACTCAATGTGCTCTCCACAGCCCCTTCCCTCTAGATACCTTTAAAATCAGCACTGCTTGTAATTTCTTTTTAATAGGATTCTGAATAAGCACTTACTACTGTGATTCTTAAACCTGAACTGTGGGGAAAAGAAAAATAAATATATGACCCTTGCATTGAGGCTCCCCCACACTACAATGGTTAAATATTGTTTTGTCTGGAGACCCTAGAAGTAACTATACATACCTTATTATTCACTTTGGCAGACTTTCACTCTGCAGCTGCATGCCTGATCCACTGAAGCAGATGCTCTTCTGACATCAAACGCAATGCAAGACCAGCAGTCTTGCATTAAGAGAGGACCCAATCACAACCTGGAGTGCTGGGCATGAGGAGAGAGGATGGGGTAAAAGGTTGCAATCTGTCAGACATTCATTACTGTTTGAGGGAATGCCTGTCCAAAAAGGACTTTGATAATGCCCACAGAGATGCACACCCCTCTGACAGGTTTAAACCTTCCCTGCTCTATGAAACTAAAAAGCCTTTGGTTGTATTTTGACTTTAAAATGAACAATGATGAAAAATATTTTGAAATGTTTCTAGTCTCCCTAAAACTACATTTTTTTTACATGGAGGAAACCTTGAAATAATTTTCTATGTCTCACTGAGTACCTGCTAATAATTACTGTACCTACAGATCATGGTACAGTAGCATTATGGACATTGAAGAATGCTAGACACATCTGTGGTCAGTGGAAAGAGTACCTGCCTTACAGATAATAAAGGTGTGAATTGCTCTTAGTGGTTACTAACCTGAGAAACAGAAGCTGCTCATTGCTCAAGGAACCCCTAGCAACCTCTGAGGGAACCTTAGGGGTTCCACAGAACCCAGGTTGAAAAAGGATGCTTTGTGTATTGATGGATGTACCTCCCCACTATGATTCTTTCTGCATGGAGGTGTTTTTCATGGGAGGCATCCGCATAACATCCTAAGCACATGCTGTGTGGATAAACTCTTGGTAACATGATATTAAAATATTCCTTTTTTATAAAAATCAGAGAGTTTAAAAAAAAAAAAAAAAAACTTTGCTCAGTTTTTGGAATAACACCTGAAAGAAGGGAAGTTAAGCACCGAATATATCTGTTACTCAATTGCAGTTCACCATCACTTACCATCAGCTCTGAGGACGACTCCCGAAACGCGTTACCTTTGGCTCTTTGCCTGTTTACATGATCCTTGGTTTGTGAGTATACATTTGTCTATTTTTAAAATAAATCCACTTTTTTATCACGGTAAAGCACGAGGAGAGCGCGCCCTTTGTGTTCTCTTTTACCACTTACCATATGTGTGACCCAGCAGTTATAATAATGCATTCCACAATATGATCTTCACAATTTAAAAGTACAGTTCATGTTTCTGACCAGGTGTCAAGTTACACCCATATTCAAGCTGACGCCCTTTTCTGAATTGCAAGGTTCTTCTCCTTTTACACACTTGCTTGTATTGCATTTGGTGTGGTTCTGCTCGTACAGCTGCTTTATTCATTTACAGAGATCAGTGAATGGAAAAAGTACAAGTCCCATCTGCCACCATGTCACTGCACTTGTTTGCTGTTAAGTTTCTCCTGCCCCATACCTAAAAAGGTCTGTACCTCTGTATGGACCAGGGGCTGAGGGAACAGTCTGCAGGAGCCTGTGCATTGCACCCACAATTCACTTAAGTGGTTGCAATGCTCTGCATTAATGTGGATGCATGTATTACATTTTTGCAAAATGTGGAATTTGCCTTAAAGATCGTCACATTTTAGGGCATGATTATAATGGGTGATGAAGCTAAACAAAATGCTACAAATCGTGTCTTCAAAATAAGGATCAAATCAGCCAACTATAAAGTTCAGCTTTTAAGGGTAAGAAAATTTTATTTGAAACAACTTAAACCTGCATCTAAATACAGACAAATCATAAAAAAGTGGAAAATGAAAGCAAGATGTGGTAGTTGTGGTCCAATCTGCTCTGGTAGTTCAATCATGATGCTCAAATGTCCTTTATAACCTCTTCTAGCTCCTCCTTACAGTACATATGAAATTTCTTTCCAGGCTCTACCGTTGCAAGCTGTTAAGAGGAAGAAAAGGACGTTTGTGAGTGGGAGGGGAAGAACAAGCAGATGATGGACTGAGCAGCTGCTGCGAGTGTGATTGATGTCAACAAAGAATCTCTGCAACTGCAATGCCCCAAATATAGACACCTGTAACCAGAATAGCTCATTGGATACCCCTTCATGTAGCAGAATGAAAAAATTCATTCTGTTCTCTTTAATAGCCTTGGAAATTAGAGTTGAGGCTTTCCTATAAGTGGAGGAATGCAAGTTCACTTCCTGAACATGGCAGGAAGCTTAAAACATAGAAAGAGGCACATACAAACAGTAAACATGTAAATCACTGGTAACAGAGTTTTTAAAGGAAAAATGTAATTTAAAAAAAAAAAAAAAAAAAAAAAAAATCAGGATTACACCAGGATACCTAAAATTACAAAATATTTACTACTACCATAAGGAAAATGATGTATACTATACACTGCCCAGGGCTGACAGAGTGCATCCAATACCCTTTAATATCAGGATGAGTATTAGTCTGGCCACTAAGAATACTGGAATATGCTTAATCCATACACTGAACTGAACAGAATCACCATTACCCCTACTAGTCCCTACAGTAATATGGGGGGGCCAGTGAACGGATCAACAGCATACAGAATGGAACCAGGCACATAAGATTTCCAAAGTGTTGTTGATGCTAAAGATTCTTCAGCCACCATAACTCTGTATCAGAGCAGATCTGCGGTGTGGCAGGTGAGTATTAACGGTCTTCTTTAAAGGGTTCACTTTTAAAAATCTGTTTAACTAGCAACAAAGTCATTTGAGAATCTTTGCACACCTTTAGCAGAGCAGGGAAGAAAAAAAAAAACAAAAAAAAAAAAAACCACACACCTTTTCAGATCTCCCTGTTGGATATTTTAAATAGAACAGAAGCAGCACAATTCCAAGGTGAAAGTAATAAAACTATGACAAGGACATCTTGCCAAATAAATCACCAAGAAGATTTTGAAGTTTGAAAAAAGAAAAATGTATTACACATAGCAAAAATTTAATTTATTGTTGGTTGCTGTAGGCTACAAGAAATGTTTTTGTTAGCACGTTTGTTTTACTTCTAAACCCCAAAAGGAGACACAGACTAGCAGATTTCACCAATAACAAAAATAAAATAAATGGTTGAATTTCAAATCTTGCAAACTCTATGCAAAAGATTTAATACTATACCTCAATGTTTGTGGCATTCAATTTTTCCTCCATCACCTGTTTTAGGATAGTTAGCGATGATTTAATGGCTTCTTTCAGAGTCATTGACTGAAGGGAAAAAAAGAAAAAAACCACAAGATAATGGACATAGTATAGTATGTGAAAATAAATTACGTATTGCAACTGCCAGATATAACCTGCCTCAATGCACCTGCTACTGCAGCTTGGAGCACATCTTTGCCTCTCCACAAACTTGTGAGATGAATGGTAAAAAGTCTAGAAAATGGCTTGCAACAATCGAAGAAGACACAAGTGTCAGTAGACTGCTTTATCATTAGGCATTATGAGCAACAAAGTGTGAAATGTGTCAGAAATAGCTGACAGCTCGTGTCTTTGATCTTCAGTAAACCCCTTTGATTGCTGCAAGCAGTTTTACAGACTTGTCTCTGCTTGGCTCTAAATAATGCAATATACTATCTTATTCGTTAACTCTTCATGCTATCTACTTAAGAAACAAAGTAGCAGGAGTCTTGTTCCTTTGGTGCCCATCTCCCCCACTACTTCAATGCCAGTACTGCTGGTGTATACACTTGATATTGTGAGATAAAACCCCAATTTAACTTTCAGACTAAAAATGACCCAGTCGCAATCCAATGTTTGTCAAATGCCCCTGCAACATTCTCTGTAGCCGTTTCTCTGGCACCCCACCACCTATGTCCTTTACCCTTGGTTCACACATGGGCGGCCATGCAGGCCGCTTTTTGCACGGGCACGAGAGCCCATTCATTTGAATGGACTCCTGTGCCCTGGGACACGCAGGGAAGAACTCCCTGCACTACTTGGGAAATCGCAGCTCGCATCGCCACGTACGGTTGTGATTTCCAGTGTGGGCGACGCGCCATTAGAATTAATGCCACCTGCTTGCAGGTCCCGTATTCCTCTGTGTGGGTGGTGCGGCTGCAGGTATTTGTGCAGGTCATGCAGCGGCACCACCCGCACAGATGTGAACCAAGCCTTACACTATGAAATAATGACTTAAGTGTCTGCAGATGGAAACAATGAATGCTGAGGGTAAACAGGCATCCAACACGCAGAAGCATGTAGGATACAGAAGATTCTTCAGCAGCGTTAACTAATTGCCAGGTGAGTATAAGCCCCACTGCCCGCTAGCCAGGTAGATATTAATTACTTTTTTGCAGTAGCCTTTTAAAAAGGATACATTCACCATTTTTTTTACCTGCAAAAAAAATGTCCATTTAATTTTTTTTTTTTTTTTTTTTTAAAGTGCATTTACTATAGTTTTTTTTTTTTTCTTAGGAGCCTGTACAGCATTGTACCAGCAATCAGAAGATCACAGGTGCAGTGTCTGGTTCCTGCAGACTGCCAATGTAGCTTTCTGCCCATACCTCTGAAACGGCAGGCAGTTACTGAATGACAGGAAGTTCAAACTATGAGAGTGTGCAGAAGCACCCTCGCAGAGTTCACTGAGAACTACAAGCCGTCAGTCACAAAGGAATTCATTGATGGAACGCTGTAAATCAAGGGTATCAAACTGGCGGCCCTCCAGCTGTTGCCAAACTAAAAGTTCCATGACGCATTGCAAGATTGACAGTTAAAAGCATGACTACCGAAGGCAGAGGCATGATGGGACTTGTAGTTTCGCAACAGCTAGAGGGCCGCCAGTTTGAAACCCCTGCTGTACATGAATGATGTGGTCGTGTTGGTGGAGTCCCACTTTTTTATATTGTGACAGTGGCTGCAAGGAAAAAGATTACTGGCCTGCTGTCACAGGGGGAGAGCTGCAGGAGCTGGAACATGTGTCCATAATTAAGTTTTGATTTGGCATGCAACACTTTAATCTTACCTTATGATAAACCTCCTGTAGTGAGCTCTGAGCCCCTTCAGAAGCAGAGCCAATGGCCCGGGCATCACACTGAACAAATGTCCCAGAAGGATCCATGTGAAAACTACATGACATTGAAACAGTAAATTAACAACTAGAATCCTCAAGTTACAGTGCTCAGCATAAATGAGTACACCCCTTTTGAAAAGTAAGATTTTAATTAATATCTCAAGAAACACAAGAACAAATATTCAAAATTTTGACAAAACTGAGTTTTATAGAACATTTGTTTAGCTCATTACATGAAAGGAAGACAATATAACTTGGATTACAAAATCTTCAGTTTTACTGAAATTAGTTGATGCAAAAATGAATATACCCCACAACAAAAACTACTACATCTAGTATTTTGTATGACCTCCATGATTTGTAAGGACAGCACCAAGTCTTCTAGGCATGGAATGAACAAGTTGGCAACATATTGTAGCATCTATTTTCTTCCATTCTTCAAGAATTACCTCTTTTAGAGCCTGGATGGGGAGTGATGTTCAACATTAGAGTACCCCATAGGTGTTTGGGTTCAGATAAGGAGACGTAGTTGACCACTGAATCACTTTCACCCTGTTCTTCTTCAGAAATGCAACAGCGGCCTTAGATATGTGTTTTGGATCATTGTCATGTTGGAAAAGTGCACGGCGACCAAGGGCATGGAGTGATGGTAGCATCTTCACTTTCAACATAGAGCAGTACATCTGTGAATTCATGATATCATTACTGACATGCAACTCCCCGACACCATGTTTCACTGTAGGCACCATGCATTTTTCTTTGTACTCCTCACCTTTGTGACGCCATACAGTTTTAAAACCATCAGTTCCAAAAACATTTATCTTGGTCTCTGCTTCAGAGTATAAAGTGCCAGTTTTTTTTTTGGCTTTTTTATGCATGGCTTTTAGGAGATGCTTCCTTTGTGAACGACATCCGTACATGCTAACTGCAGTGAACTTGCATGGCGATTTTCTTCAACCCTTCTCATCAGAAGACACTCCTGTAGAGGTGTTAACTTCCACTGCCGGCCTGGACGTCTCTGTGGAGATGGTTGCAGTTCCATCTTTATTAAATTTTTGTATCACTTTTGCTACAGTATTCTGACTGACAAGTAAAGCTTTGCTAATTTTCTTGTAGAATTCACCTTTCTTGTGTAAATAAATTATTTTCTCTCTCAGGTCTTTTCTCTTTCTCGTGACATTTCTCTTCCACGTGGTGCCATTGCTGACAGCATGAAATGGGGAGGAGTTTTCTTTAAGTAACGCTCTTTTATAATCAACTGTCTGCTGGACACCTGTTTAATGAATAATTAGACTCACCTGTAGTTGAATTCTTGTTAATTGGGATTTTGTGGTCTAAAATTTAGCTTTGCTCCTAAGACTTTCATTGGGGTGTATTCATTTTTGCAACATGATACCGAATTAATTTCTTAGGAAAAATACTTTTTTGTGTATGCACATTAACAAATCTTGTTTGCAATCAATGGCCCGCATTTGTGGGAGTATTTTGTAGTATAGTGCCCCATTGAAAATGTTGATTCTGAAAGGTAAGTAAAGGTTTTCTGACAAATCTGTTGGGATGTACTCATTTATGCTGAGCTCTGTATATCATAGTTAAAAATATGCACATGGCATACATTTTTGGGAACACTTACAGCTGAGGCCCTTTTTCATCTGCACCACCAAATAGAAGAGCAACTCCAAATGGACGGCTCTAAAATAAGGAGGAAAAACAGATTATAAAAATGTCACACATGGCATTCAAACAACTGAGAGAATGGTGAATCCAAAAAAGTGACAAGACAGCATGCAGTCTCTACAGCACTTGCCATGGCTCCAGGGTCAGCATCCTCCTCTCCAAATTGCAGTGCTAGATTGGAGACTGCTTGTGTGACACTTTCTACTGTCATTGTTTCATTATAAGTAAACCAGTGATTCTGGAAGACAAAAAGAAAAACACACAAAATCTATTGATGTTTCAAAAACTATATAGATCATGATTGAACAAGAGTTCATTCACCAACACAGCATTTTAACAATTCAGATATATATACCTGTGTTTCAACCCGAGCTTTATCAATTAATGTCTTTGCATCTGCAATTAAGCCACTCATAGCACAGCCTATAAGAAAATATGAATGTAAAGAAAAAGGGTAAAACTTATATTAAAGATACTCTATTTTCCAAGTGCCTTATAAAAACAGATTAAAGGAAACATATGACATGACATTATATATTGATAAAATAGTTATCTGTTAAGCCTCACTTACAGCCTCACCTAAGACATACAGTAGATTATAGTACCAGCAACGTATTTCTTAATTTGTTTTATCAGTTGTAATTTAAAAAAAAAAAAAAACGCAGATAATTTTGCACATGGATCTTGGCATACAACATGGTGTTTATTAATTGGCAAAGCAAACACCCATTGTATACAGTTGTGCTCAAAAGTTTGCATATCCTGGCAGAGACTGTGAAATTTTGGCAATGATATTGAAAATATGACCTTTACTGCATCAATGACACTGTTTGATAATAAATGGCTTCATATGATCATCATCCTTCAAAAAAGTCTTATTTTCAATATCAATGCCAAAATTTCACATTTTTGCCAGGGTATATGCAAACTCGTTAGTATATTGCTTTGGACAGCCGATTATGACTCTTTGGACAATAAAAAAATTTGAAGGCATAAGCTAGAAAATGTTTATCCTATGTGGACACGACATCTGATTTTTTGCTCAACGTGTGGGCTATGATTTGTCCTGCAAGCTCTATTTTAACCACTAGACATTTTGGTTAGGGCGACAGCTGTCCATGCCAATTGCCAGAAATGGAAAAAAAACCCTCTCATGAGGGAGCTTCTTCAGAACCTTTGACAAAGATTGCGGTTATATTCCTTCCTGCACGCATTAAAATGCTGGAAAGCAACCTTGTTTAACCCCTTCACAACCAAGTAAAAGATATATGAGGCAGCCTGCCAGTTGCTGACAGTGTCACTGTTTGGGTTAGTGTGTTTTAGGTAAGAAAAAAAGGTTTTGTATTTAGTGCAAGTGTGCTTAGGTAAGACCAAAAAAAAAAAAAAAAAAAAAAAAAAAAAAGCGTACTATTGTTTCTTGGACCTACTATGGGTACAAAGAACAAATAATCCCCCACATATGTGGTATATAGTTTATTTTTGTGGGTTTTTTGGTGATGGGTTATGGTAATGGAATACAAATATACAACTAAAATTAAAATTTTTTTTTTTACTATTTTAGGCCAATGTTCTTTTCATAATGAAACAAAATTAGGAGATATCAATTTCCATGTACCACCAAATGAAAGCCCAATCTGTCATGAAAAAAAAAAAGTATATCCAGCTGTATACAGGTATGTGTGTGTGTGTGTGTTAGGGGGGTTCTGGACATCTAGACTTACAGTTACAACTGGCCCTTTGATGCTAAGGCGGCCAGCGATGAAATGGAGTTTGACACCCCTGTGCTGGTTAATCTAAAAAAAAAACCCCTCCTCTAGACTGGCAATGCAGCTGTCCAAAGGTACCTCTGTGCTCCTTCATCCAGAGTGGGGACACTCTAATACAGGAGGTACAGTGGATATAAAAAGTCTACACAGCCCTATAAAAATGTCAGGTTTCTGTGATGTAAAAAAAAATTAGACAAAGATAAATCATTTCAGAACCTTTTCCCACCTTTAATGTGACCTATACACTGTACAGTTCAATTGAAAAACAAACTGAAATCTTTGTCGGGTGGGGGGAGTACACTTAAAAAAAAAATTAAAAAAAAATGTGGTTGCATAAGTGTGCACACCCTCTTATAACTGGGGATATTCAGAATTAAGAAATCACATTCAAAATCATGTTAAATAGGAGTCAGTGCACAACTGCCGTCATTTAAAGTGCCTCTGATTAACCCCAAAGTTCAGCTGTTCTAGTAGGTCTTTCCTGACATTTTCTTAGTCACATCCTAAAGCAAAAGCCATAATCCACAGAGAGCTTCCAAAGTATCAGAGGGATCTCATTGTTAAAAGATATCAGTCAGAAGGGTACAAAAGAATTTCAGTCAGAAGTGTACAAAAGAATTTCCAAGGCATTAGATATACCATGGAACTCAGTGAAGACAGACATCAAGTGGAGAAAATATGGAGCAACAGTGACATTACCCTCCAGCAACATTAAAGGAGTTGCAGGAATATCTCGCAAGTACTGGCTGTGTGGTACATGTGACAAGAATCTCCCGTATTCTTCATATGTCTGGGCTATGGGGTAGAGATGGAAGCCTTTTCTTATGAAGAAAAAAATCCAAGCCCGGCTAAATTTTGCAAAAACACATTTGAAGTCTCCCAAAAGCATGTGGGAAAATGTGTTATGGTCTGATGAAACAAAGTTTGAACATTTTGGCCATAATTCCAAAAGCTATGTTTGGCACAAAAACAACACTGCACATCACTAAAAGAACACCATACCTACAGTGAAGCATGGTGGTTGCAGCATCATGCTTTAGGGCTGTTTTTCTTCAGCTGGAACTGGGGCCTTAGTCAAGGTAGAGGGAATTATGAACAGTTCCAATACTGGCACAAAACCTTCAGGTTTCTGCTAGAAAGCTGAACATGAAGAGAAACTTCATCTTTTAGCAGGACAACAACCCAAAGCATGCATCCAAATCAACAAAGGAATGGCTTCAGCAGAAGAAGTCTAAAATTTTGGAACGGCCCAGCTAGAGCCCAGACCTGAATCTGATCGAAAATATGTGGGGTGATCTGAAGAGGGCTGTGCACAGGAGATACCCGGACAATCTGACAGATTTGGAGTGTTTTTGCAAGAAAGAGAGGGCAATTATTGCCAAGTCAAGATGTGCCATGCTGACAGACTCATACTCAAAAAGACTGAGTGCTGTAATAAAATCAAAAGGTTAGTTTAAGGGTGTGCATACTTATGCAACCATATTTTTTAGTTTTTTATTTTTACTTCCCTCCACCTAAAAGATTTCAGTTTGTTGTTCAACTGAGTTGTACAGTTTATAGGTTACATTAAAGGTGGAAAATGTTCTGAAATGATTTTTCTTTGTCCCATTTTTTTACATCACAGAAACCTGACATTTTAACAGGGGTGTGTAGACTTTTTATATCTACTGTATGTTACTGGCCAGATCACCAGGTGAAAAAAAAAAGGAGGGGGTGGGGAATAAAAAAAGACTAAAATATGAAAACTAACGTGGACACATCTAATGATTGGTAAGCTGGAACATATTACATTTTTGGTTTTGGGTTTAATACCACTTTCAGGTTTGTTTTAACCCTGGTTGTGAAGGGGTCAATGTATTTAATAATTGTTCCAATCAAAACAACATGTCACCTATATGAGCATCTATCTCTACAATCTTCTCAATGCTGTTGGGCTCCATTAAAGGTGATGTGATCCTCTTCTCGACTGCAAGACATACTCCTTCTGATGTCTGGATACCAATGGCTGTAGAGCCAAGCTAAAGTAAATGGCAAGGTATAAAAAAGTAAATATTAAAAAACAGTAAAAAAAAAAAAATCACGTAATACAATAAAGCATACAAAGAAAAAAATTATATAGATATTATAGAATTTTTTTTTAAAACTAAAATCATAGAAAACATACATCCTATATTAGCATTTTAAAACAGTAGAAGATAATGCTGGGTTCAACTCCTTTCAGCTAAAACAAGAAATTAAGGATAAAATGAGCATGAGATCACCAAAACTGAACAAATGAAAATAAAATAGTGTGCTTGCCTGGCCTAAATCTAGCCTGTTTTGTCTCAACAGTTCAGGTTGGTGGTAGTGTTGATGTAATATAGCATGCCTCCTGACACAAATTAGGCCCTTTAATACCAGCTAAGCTTCAACTGCCAACTGCCATGTTCCACTATCATATGTACCAGCCTCAATAAACTGTAAAGGCACACACTGGACATGTACAAGAAAGTCAGGCCCCAGTAACAAAGTAAAATTAAACCAAGGAAGAGAACAGAAGTGGCCTTTCTACTGGTAAAGTCTACTTTTAGACAGGATGCTCAATTCTGTTAGATGTCACACAAGAGTGCTGATAGCATGCCCTCAGAAAACGGTTATATATGAAAGGCACTATCAAAATTTCTCAAGGAAAATAAGTGTCTTTGTGAAGGCCCTAATGAACCCTCAGTTTAAATTATCTAATACCAATCTAGGTGCATCAAAACAAAAGCTGTTCTATATCTTACAACCAGGGGTGTGGAAACTTAAAAACAAAAAAAAAAACACTTGTCCAAGGGACTAAATCGGGGTCCCAATCTACTTGTCCTGATTAAAAAAAATAAATAAATTAACCAAAACTAGCAAGGAGGGGAAAGACCTTGCTAGTGAGACTAGCACCGATTGGGTGCTCGTCAGGAAAGGGGAGTGTCGGGTTCTCCTAATGCTCAGCAGAAGTGCATCTGCTGAGCAAGTAAATGAGGTGCCCCAAGGAGAAAAACAAAAAAACTATTTCCTTCAGGTTACCCTCACATATGGAAGCACTTGGGTGCTCAGTATAAGCATATAGGTGGGCTGTGAGTCTATACTCCATGGGGTGAACACCAGATGTTCAGGGTAGGTAGGCTGTGTGTTTTATCCTCCTGGCTCCGTGTCCATCTTGCCTGCAGTGTGAGGTGACACAATGACAGGCCTGGCTCAGGAAAGAGTGTGGTGGTGCTATCAGGCTCTGGAAGACAGGCAGGGATTAGCAAACACCCCCCCCCCCCCCCTTCCCGACTTCGGATTGAAAAAAATAATAGATATAAATACCATTTTTACAGTGTACTTTACATTTTTTTAATCACTTTTATTGCTATGAACAACATCCCTTGATATCATCGGCCATGACAGGTGCTCTTTATGGAGAGATCTGGGGTCTGAGACTCCAGATCTCTGCTCTGGCCTCCAAAATAGCAGATAAAACCCAAGATCAGTTTGATCTGCTGCTACACAAGTTGGCAATGACAAAGGAACCAATACTTCACACAGTGGGAGAAACAAAACTAGTTCCATTCACTTTGTTTAGGGAAGCTGATGCTGCCAGTGGCATCCTTACCGGGCTCCCCGATCACTCAGGACAGCCTAATAAAAATCAGCGGGACCCCCTTCCAAATCCCTCTAAACCTGGCCATACACTATACAATCTTATTGTACAATCTTTGCACACTCTCCTTTAGCTTTATCAAAGCTATACAATATGAAGACAAACCTAAACAATTCGTTCAATTTGTATAGAATCAGACTTTCTTGTACTATATTCTTGATGGTTGATCTAAGGCTAGCCATAGAAGGGTCATTTTTTTCGACCAGCCAGCAGGCTACTTAAAAAAAAAAAAAAAAGGAGGAGGATGGATTTCCCTCTTTGACACAAGCAAATAGACTCCACTGTCAGAATACACTGATCTCACGCTGCAGACGATTGGCTGCATGCACCGAATGAAAAGTTTCCTACATTTCTGTTTGGGATGAGCCAATCATTAGATCTACTTCTCTCAAGTGGAACCACCTGTAGATGGATTGAAATTTGGCCAGTTCTTGCTGAATTGGACAATTTTCAATTCATCTAGGGCCACGCAGTATACAATCAGATTGTACAATCTCCACATAATCCCCTTTAGATTTATTAAAACAAGGCCAAATCCTACACTCCATTTAGTTTGTATACTCTTAGACAAGCTCTTGCACTGCAGAGATGATGAAAGATCTAAATGAGATTGTACAATTAAATTGTATAGTGTGCAGTCAGCTTTATGGAGCCCTGGATGGCAGTAAAACTTCACACGGGATCTATAACTCCCTTGCTCCAGCCAAACCTAAAAATTATAGGAAATGTGAATGAAACCTGTAGATCAAAACCTACAAATATCATAAAAAGGAAATAAAAGTAGCATGCACTATGAAACACCAGCAGCTTATCAGGCCTAATAAAATGCAGGCAGAAATCCCCTGCTCTCTTGTAGCTGACATGTTAATTATACTTGCAAAACAGTTTCACTTTCAGTTCAGCGAGAAGCAAAGCTGAAATGAAGGCCCAATTACCTTGATTGCTTCGATGGCATATTCTACTTGAAAGAGCCTGCCTTCTGGAGAGAAGGTGTTCACCCCCCTGAATAAAACAAGAGTGGAAACAGGTGACAACTAGGACCATTGTCAGGCAAATCCCACAAACAGATGACACAAAACAAGAGTGGCCTCAGAATACAGCCATTAACAATGACACTGCAGAAAAGAAGTGAATGTTTGTGCTGTGATCCACTGCATTTCACCACACATATTCAAAAGCTGAATTATGTAGTGTGTGACTATGATAGAGCTCACCACGTCACAATCTGATTATACAATCTCCTATATATCTAACAAGTATCGGCTTGCCTGTTCATATAGAGACTGATTGGATATTTTAGATAGGTCCTCATATTACGTAGTATTGGAGGACCTAAAGTTGATTGTACAGTCAGATTGAAACGTGTGCGTGGTGGGCTTTCCTCACTTTTCACTCTCTGTTTCCAAATCGCCCACCGCCAGTCTCTTTTACCCAGAATTTACTCTAATGGTGACCATACACGCTCTGATATCATCTGACTGGTGTTCAACTGAATCGAATTGGCATAACTTCCTTTACAAACAATTTACTACGCTAGCTAGCTGCAGTCATTCCTGGCTGTTCTCACAGCCAGCGATTACCTGCTGTGGATGCTGCTGGACGCACTTCATGCTCACCCCACTTTGTAAGCATCCAGCAAAGATCATCGTAGGTAATCACCAACTATGTGCACAGCCAGGAATCGCTGTGGCTGATGACAACCTGCCATTGAAGCATAGGGGCTCATCAGCCACAGCTAGCCACTCATGCCTGTCAAAAACAGCAACAGGAATCAGCAGATTCCTGCGGCTGCCATTCGCACCGTGGCAGAACAGCCATGTGAATGTAGCCTAATGTGTAGTAGACGATAAGAAAATTGGATGAAAAATACTGCTTTTGAAACCATCGTATGATAATCTGATCGTTGGCACACAGCTTTCGAGAGCTGATCACGACAGTTCACGTAAAAATTATCCAAGGGTTGAAACATGAAAACTTTTCTCTTCTGATACAAAACAAACGATTTTCATGTAATCAGTACAGTATTGGCCGGTAAAAGAAATAGAGTGACCAAGACTGAGCATACTTGAAATTAAAGAATGCATTAAACCATCATGGGATGTGGCATTCTGTCTTATGAGAATTTGTATAACTGTAGTAACCTATTCATTTTCGATGTGAGACTAGCATGCAAAAAATAAATCAGACGATCATTTGTCCGATATTCTCATCGTGTGTACAAAGCTTTAGACTCGGGAGTTGATTCCCACGTGCGGTGCAGATTGAAGCTCAGGTTTCACAGCTAATTGGTACAGTAGTTGTTCAGCAGTTCATGTCAGGTTTACATCAGGTTGAGGACAGGATTAACTCAGGATTTTATCCTGTTCACACACATACGGTTTAGAAACGGTTCCCATAGAAGTCAATAGCCTGTAATCCGCAACGGAACCAGACTACACTACTCAGAAATTGTACATGACTCCTTCAAACCGCACTGAATCCGCACCACCAGTGCACCAGACATATGTGAACAGGCACCATAGGAAGCAGTTAGTTCACATGTCATTCGGGTTGGATGCGGTCTGCATATATGTGAACCGGCACTTAGAGTTCAATCAAACTGAGTTGACTGACCAGAGCAGGAATCATCCATTGTGTCGCTTCTGTCAGTGGCATCGAGATGCTTTTAGAATTTCATCGTATTTCAAACAATTGGGTTATGGGATTACATGGTGAAAGCAAATGCACACTTAAAGCGGAGTTCCAGTCAGTTTTGTGTTTATTAAAAGTCAACAGCTACAGAAACTGTAGCTGCTGTCTTTTAATAAACACAAGCTCACCTGTTCCGGGGTCCAGCGATGTACTCACCCGTGCTGTCCCTTCTCTCCACGGTGCCGACATCTTAACTGTGGGCACCAGGCTGTGACAACTTGCGGTTTCACAGCCGGGTGCCCACTGATGTGAGTTGCGCTGCGCATCCTGATTAGTCCGGTAGTTTTCTGGGACCTGTGAAGTGTCCCAGAAGACTGCGGGGGAAGAAGGAGAGGGGGGGGGGGGGGGCGACTTCCTGCAAACTGAGCCAGAAGTGGGTACTTGTCAAAATCAAGTATCTCTCCCAAAAAGTGCCAAATATGGCAGACAAGGAGGCAAACAAGTGGAGCTTCCACTTTTGGGTGGAATTCTGCTTTAATAACTTACGATATTTGAACTATCACAAACCACTTCCTGCATGAAGTGTATTGATCTATTGGGCTATCAACTACAGATATACTGAAAAAAAAAAAGTAAACAATTTAGCAAGGAGTGTATGGTCACCGTACGACGTGTCTCCATCCTTGTTTGATATACACAGCCATCATACCCGCACCTCCCTGTTGGCTGAATGTTATCACCCCATGGTTCCCTTCTCCCTTCGCTTTCACCAGAACACACTTGATCATCCCTCTCAATCAGGCTCCGGACCATTCCAATACATAACCTCATGGCTACCTGCTCCATCCTGTAACAATGTTTCTTACACACACTGCACGAAGCACGCTCCCAGAAGCCCCGTAATAAGGTGCTTTCCATTCCACCCGTGTCTCCGGAGCCTGGAACCTCTCTCACCTGTCATACTCGGAACGTGTGAGAAACATGCTGTCACACCACTCTCAGCTCGACCACAACAACACGGAACAGTCTGCTAAGTCACCGGGGCCTAGGTCTGCCGGCACCGGAGGTGTGTACAGAGCGGATGTGACGTTTGCAAGGGAGGGGCTTCGTCTGAATCCAACTGTGAGGGCGGAGAGGCGGGAGTGGGGGAGGTCTCTGTCAGCGCGAACATAGAGGTTCTCTCAGAGACTGAGGACTGTGCTGGGGAGTAACTTACCCGACACAGTAACGTGTATGATAACCTGTCACAGTACAGGACAGAGCGCGGGCTCTGCAGAACGAGGTGAATGATACGACGTTAGGGGACAAATAGTGTAGCCTGTAGGTGGGCCAGTCCACAGAGCTGCTGGAGTTCCGTTACCAGTGTGCTGAACACGATGTCGTTTTTTGGTGTGCTGGTATTGAGGTTAAAACATGCAGCTTTGTGATGGTGCATTAGATATATACAGGAGGGTGTGAAGGGGTTAACGTAGAACTGAAGGTAAAACTTTTTTTTTTGTTTTCTCTAGGATGAGGGTATTCTTTTAGAAGAATTTTTGTTCGAATTTCACACCAATTGTGTGTCACAGAAACGGCCCGATTTTCGTGTAATCATCAAATTTGAATGACTGGGCATGTTGGAAATTTTTTGAAAAACGAACCAATTTCAATTCAATGATGGGAGAATCATGCAAGAAATATAAGCGAAAAAGAAATAAGCCTGAGCTGTGACCTGGAAAGAAAAGAAAATTCTTGGCCATGAAAATTATTTTCTGTAGTAACATGAGGTGAAATTGAAGGCTTGGTTGGTTGAATTTGGAAATCAATGGTGGTGCCATCGGATTACAAAACACACGCAAATTCAGACTTTCTAAAGAAAATTTGTTCGAAATTCGACCCATGTATGGCCTACATAAGTTAGGAACCCTGTAAGCCCTGGTTCACCTCTGTGCGGGCCGCTATTTGCGCGGCACAAGAACCCATTCATTTGAGTGGACTCCCGTGTGCTGGAACACGCAGGGAAGAAGTCCCTGCACTTCTTGGAATAGACGTTCCATTTCGCAGTTCCCAGTACAGTTGCCGTGTGGGTGGCGTGCTAGTAGAATTAATGGCACCCACATTCCTCTGTGTGGGTGGTGCAGCTGCAGTTATTTGTTCTGGTCCCGGACCAGCACCACCCACACAGATGTGAACCAGGGGTAAGGTGTGTTTCTGTTTTGTGATCTGTGTCCCGATCAGGGGCGGACTGACCATTCGAACACTCGGGCAGGGCCCGGGGTCAGTAGGGGGCCCCATGAAATGCCCCTGGTACCTTTTTATAGGATTTTTTGGGTGTGCTTTGAGTGTGGGAAAGGATACAGGGGCCCCATGATCCCCTATTCGCCAGGGGCCCCATGAGTTGTTAGTCCGCCCCTGGTCCCGATGGGGAGATTTCACTTCCTGTCCCACAACAGGAAGTGAGGGGAAATCCCTGCTTATGATCTCTGGAAGATTTCACATCTATTCTGGCGACAACCCAAACTTTGGGATTGTCTTGCACTTTTGTTAATAATGGTAAATAGGTCTTAGGTTATTTTCACACTGCTCAGTTGTAAAAATGTTTGTGTATTTTTTTTCGGTTTTTCCATGCTTTTTTCACTTGACATGTGACTCAAGAAATGTATCCAAGGGTGTGTTTTGGTGCATTTACTATTCATTTCAATGGGGAGGTACGTTTTTGATTCATTTTCCATTTATTTTGATGGGGAGGTGCATTTTTTTTTACCGCATCAAACGCACTAAAAATGCTGCTTGCAGGACTTTGAAAAACAACAAAACTGACCAGTGTGAAGCATTCCATAGGATTTATTGGTCAGGCATATTTATTTTTTAATGCCTTATAGAGAGGATGAACCTCCCTAATAGCCCCACGCCCCTCCCACCTAAAAAAAAAAAAAAAAAAATACTTTGTTGTTATACTTTACATTTCCCATCTGGCCCATATACATAAACAGCTGGACAAGAGCTTTATTGATGTGGAAGGGCATATGTATTGTCTTCTTAGGTGTGGCTTCTAGAGCAGGCAGCAGTGTGCCCTGTGGGGGGGGACACCCAGGTTGCAGATCAGGGTATAGGGCCATACAAAATGTAAACAAAGGCTGCAGCCATTGACTTCATCTCTTCACACAGGACAGCACCTGTGAGGGGGCGGAGAGCCATTACAAGGCACTGTGGGTGATTTCAACAAGTACTCAGTGTTTCAGCAGTGTTCTCCACCAAAACACCAGTATAGCCAGCTATAATGTCCCTGGTTCCTAGCTACACTAGTGTGAGTTGTCACTAAAGTGCTGTCAGCCACAGTGTCCTTGACCACTAGCACCAGTGTCCTTGTACCTGGTCACTGGCAACACCAGTCATGCTGTCACTAGACCAGTGCAACCAGCCAGTGATCATGATTACTGTGTCAGCAGACCAGTGTAAGCTAGCACCATTGTCCTGATTGCTACCACACCAGTGCCATTGTGCACCAGTATAATGGTTGCCGCAACGCCAGTTATAGTGTCAACAGCCAGTGAAGCCAGCAACACTATTCTGATCGTTAGCCACACCTGTGCCAATGAAGCCAGTAAAGTCAGCACTGCCATATCAGTACATTTTCACCAGAGCCAGTATACCTTGATCGACAGAACCAGTATCCTGAACACAATGTCTGAAAAAGAGGTTCACAAGTGGGGAGGCCTTTCGGATTCTGAGCATGACAGATGAGAATTGCGGGCAGGGGCTCTTACTGTCACATTCAGAATGTGGGCTTGTGGAGAGCAGCGGTTCAATAACAGCCTCTGATTCAGAGGATGAAAGGGCCACTACTAAAAGATGCAGCAGCAGGCAAGCACCAGCAGCACAGTATTTCTGGATCTGGATGAAAGGCAGAGTACAACTAGGGGGGTGTTAAATCAGACGCAAAGGATTAGGGTCTATACTAGTGCCCCAGAGGCACTTGTAAATCCTTTACGGGTTCCCTCTACTTCAGCAGCACCTATCATCCCCCCATTCTCATATACAACGAAACCAGGCATTCAGGTAGAAACAAAATTTCACATCCGTTCAATTTTTTGTTTCCCACCAAACATTTATTTTTTTCACTTGTAAAACAATGTAATCTATATGTCCAATAGTACATCACCAGTAGTACCATTCCATTTATGGCCATCACAGGTGAGTTCAAAATCTTTCTTGGCCTTACCCTCTATATGGGACTCAAAAAAATGTAACTGCAGTCCTATTTGTCCATAGTAATTCTCCACAATGACAATTTACTGTGCCCTCCCTGAAGTCACCCCAAATAGGACTTTTTTTTTAAAGCTTTACAAAATTAGGCCACTTGTCGAATATTTTTCCTCAAAATGTTCTGAAATATATGCTTTTAACAAGCATAACTTTAGTGATATGTCCTTCATACATTTTACTGGGAAAATGGGCATAAAACAGTATATCTCCAGTAAACTTGTAAGATATGGGGTGAAGATATATAAACATTTTGTGAGGGCCACAGTGTACGTATACTGTGAATCCAGAAAGTGTTCACAGCGCTTAACTTTTGCCACATTTTGTTATGTTACAGTCTTATTCCAAAATGGTTTAAATTCATTTTTTTCCCTCAACATTCTACAGACAATACCCCATAATAATGAGAAAGAAGTTCATTTTGAAATCTTTACAATTTATTAAAAATAAAAAACGAAGAAAAAAAAACACATGTACATAAGTATTCACAGTTTTTGCCATGACACTCATAATTGAGCTCTGGTGCATCCTGTTCCCACTGATCATCCTTGAGATGTTCCCACAACTTGATTTGAGTCCACCTGTGGGAAATTTAGTTGATTGGACATGATTAGGAAACCTGTCTATATAAGGTCCCACAGTTAACAGAGCATGTCAGAGCACAAACCAAGCCATAAAGTCCAAGGAGTTGTCCGTAGACCTCTGAGACAGGATTGTATCAAGGCACAGATCTGGGGAAGGGAACAGAAAAATTTCTGAAGCATTGAAGGTCCCAGTGAGGACAGTGGCCTTCATCATCTGTAAATAGAAGCATTTTGGAACCACCAGGAATCTTCCTAGAGTGGGCCATCCGGCCAAAATGAGCGATCGAGGGAGAAGGGCCTTAGCCAGGGAGGTAACCAAGCACCCAATGGTCACTGAAAGAGCTCCAGCGTTTCTCTGGAGAGAGGAGAACCTTCCAGAAGAACAACCATCACTGCAGCACTCCACCAATCAGGCCTGTATGGTAGAGTGGCCAGACGGAAGCCACTCCTCCGTAAAAGGCAAATGGTAGCTGTGACGTTCGCGACGTCAGATCCCTGCCCTTCTCACCAAACTCGTGACCGAAGGACTAGCCAATCTAAAACTGCGATGTCACATGCGTAACAATTCCATGCCCAGCTGCACCCTGCACAACGATTTTCTAGCTCACTGGACCACAAATCGATGTACCGGCAGCCTGAGCACGATTGTTACTGGGTCAGGTTAATTACGCAATTAACCCTTCACACTGCCACCACCTCCTTTTTGTACAGAGAAAGAGGGAACTCGGCAATATCAGCAATAACACTATGATGGTTAGATAATCGTCTCTATACCACTGTCACTGCAGACAGGTTATACAGGGGGTTAAACACACACAGTACCGTTCTTCAGCGGCATGAATTCATGTTTGCATTAAAGAGCTTTAGAAACAGTTCTACACTTTCAGAAAGTAAGATTTATTACTAAAAGGGTGCAATAAAAATACAGAAAAAAGATGTAACCAATATATATAAATATACAGATAACAATAGCAGAGCAAAGAGATAACAGAAAGGAGGTTTCAAAGTTTCAAAGGCTCTGAAATTCCAGGGTAGCACCCCACCCCAAAGACCCCTTTTTGGAAAGTAGATACCCCAAATATTTGCTGAGAGGCATGTCAATGGAAGATTTTTTTTTTTTTACACAAAGTTGGCACTTAAATGATATATTGCTCACACATGCTATGGGTATATGTGGAATTACACCCCTAAAATAATATTCTGCAACTTCTCCCAAGTATGGGGATACCACATGTGTGAGACTTTTTGGGAGCCTAGCTGCATACAGGATCCCAAATGCAGTGACCCCTTTGAAAGCCTGAAGGTGCATAATTTCCTAATTTCGCTTCCTCAGTACCTATCACAGTTTCAGAGACTCTGAAATTCCATGATAGAACAACCCCCCCTTCCCCCCAAATGATCCCTTTTTGGAAAGTAGACACCCCAACCTATTGCTGAGAGGCATGCTGAGTCAATGGAAGATTTTTTTTTTATCCACAAGTTTGTGGAATATGACAAAAAAAAATACACAAAGATATCACTTAAATGATATATTTCTCACAGATGCTATGGGTGTATGTGGAATTACACCTCCAAAATATATTCTGCTACTTCTCCTGAGTATGGGGATACCACACGTGTGAGACTTTTTGTGAGTCTTGCTGTATACAGGAGCCCGAACTGCAATGACCCCTTTGAAAGCTTAAAGGTGTGTAATTTCCTCATTTCTCTTCCTCTCTACCTATCACAGTTTGAGAGGCTATGAAATTCCAGGATAGCATAACCCTCCACCCAAATGACTCATTTTTGGAAAGTAGACATTCCAAGGAATTTAATAAGTCGTGAGTATTTTTGCCAACCTATTTTTTTGCCCCAAAATACATTTTCATTTTCTTTCTTCATTTTCCAAAAACTTGTGGCAGCAAACAAGATCTGCAAAATACTCACCATGCCTCATCAAATTCCTTGGGGTGTCTACTTTCCAAAAATGTGTCATTTGGGAGGGGGGGGGGGTACTATTTTGGCAGTTCAGGGCCTTTGAAACTGTGATAGGTAGTCAGGAAGTGTAATAAGGAAATAAAGCCTTTTAAAAGCCTGAAGGTGCTTACTGGATTTTGGGGTCCTGTACTTGGGTAGTATGCAACAAAAAGTCTCTCACATTTGGTATACCCATACTCGGGAGAAGTAGCAGAATATGTTTGGGGTGTAATTCCACTTATACCCATGACATGTGTGAGCAATATATCATTTTAAGTGACAACTTTTGTGTAAAAAATAAGAAAAAAATTTTTTTTGTCATATTCCAAAAACCTTTGGTAAAAACATCTTCCATTGACTCAACATGCCTCTCCACAAATAGCTAGCTTGGGGTGTCTACTTTCCAAAAAGGGTCTTTTGGATGGGTTTTGTGCTATCCTGGCATTTTATGCCCAACATTATCACACATCTACCACTCTTCCAATCACTTGAAAATGAGGCCTTGTATGAAATTTGTTCACATGATAACAATCAGTATTTTTTAGCTAGAAATTACTTTGAACCCCCAAACATTACATATTCTTAATGCAGAGGCTGTACAGAATAAAATGGTGGGTGTTGCAATTTTTTATGTCACACAGTACTTGTGCAGTGATTCTTGAAACACAATTTTTTTGTAAAAAATACACTTTTTTGAATTTTCATGCACAAAAACACAATATATTGGGCAATTGTTAGGTTTAGTATAAAAGATGATGTTATGCTGAGCAAATAGATACCAAACATGACATGCTTTAAAACTGCGCAACGGCGGCAAATTACATACATTTTTAATATAATAGTAAAGCTTTAAAAGCCTTTACAGGTCATCATTTTATATTTTATATTTACACAGGAGGTCTAGTGCTAGAATTACTGCCCTCGATCTGACATTCACAGCAATACCTCACATGCATAGTGCAACCACTGTTTACATGTGAACACGGGGCCAACACTTACATATGCCTTTGTGCGTGAGCCTGGGGGGACAGAGGTGCTTTAACCACAAGCCTACAGGGCACTTATACCCCCTTTCTGCCCAGGCCAATTTCCAGCTTTCAGCGTCACACTTTGAATGACAATTGCACGGTCATACAACACTGTACCCATATGAAATTTTTATAATTTTTTTGAGACTGATAAATCTTTCTTTTGGTGGTATTTAATCAACTCTGGGTTTTTTATTTTTTCTTAAACAAACCAAAAACCACAGAAAATTTTAAAAAAAAAATGTTTTTTCATAGTTTTTGTTATAAAATTTTGTAAATAAGTGATTTTTTCTCCTTCACTGATGTGCGCTAATGAGACTGAAGTGATGGCACTGATAGGCTGCACTGATGGACACTGATAGGTGGCACTGATGAGGAGGCACTGCTAGGTTGCACTGATGGGCACTGAAAGGCAGCACTGATATATGGCACTGTTAGGCGGCACTGACTGGCACTGTTAGGCGGCACTGACTGGCACTGATAGGCGGAACTTACTGGCACTGATGGGTGACACTGAAAGGACGCTCAGATGGGCACTGGTAGGCACTGATATGTGGCATTGATGGGCACTGGCACGTGGCACTGATGAGCACTGACAGCGGCACTGATGGACACTGACAGGTGGCACTACTGGGGCTACACTGATCATCAGTGCTCTGATGATCAGTGTAGATGTCCCCTCCGCGGAATGCCGATTACCGTCTCTCCTATCCTCTTGAGCTGTCAGCGTGACAGCTCGTGAGGAGAGAAATGCAGATAACCGGCATTTCCCTGTTTACATGTGATCAGCTGTAATTGGACACAGCTGATCACATGACCGAGCTGACATCTTCGGCTCTTTCCGTGGACCAGTGATCCGCTGTGTCCGAGGGACACAGAGCACTGCCGATCGCCGTGCTGCTCGCTACCCGAGCCACTCATGCGCGTTGAGAATGAGAGGACATCAGGGGGTTTATTTACTAAAGCTGGAGAGTCCAAAATCAGACTCCCTTCTGCATAGAAACCAATCAGCTTCCAGGTTTCATTGCCAAAGCTTCATTGAACAAGCTGAGGTTAGAAGGTGATTGGTTTCTATGCAGAAGGGAGTCTGATAGCCAGCCAGCACAGTGTAATGGTCGAGCTATAAATGGCGGCCATTTTAGAATTCTCCATTTGCCTCCAGTCATTCAACAGAGGCAGACCTGGCTGTATGCAGGGAGAGAGTTAGGGACAGAGAAACGTTAGTTAGGGCCACAGAATCGTTACTTAGGGCCACAGAATCGTTACTTAGGGCCATAGAAACGTTACATAGGGCCACAGAAACGTTACTTAGGGCCACAGAATCGTTAGTTAGGGCCACAGAAACGTTACTTAGGGACACAGAATTGTTACTCAGGGACAGACAGAATTGTTACTGAGGGATACAGAATTGTTACTGAGGGCCACAGAATCGTTACTTAGGGCCACAGAAACGTTACTTAGGGCCACAGAATTGTTACTTAGGGACAGACACAGAATTGTTACTGAGGGACACAGATTTGTTACTGAGGGCCACAGAATCGTTACTTAGGGCCACAGAATTGTTACTTAGGGCCACAGAATTGTTACTTAGGGACAGACACAGAATTGTTACTGAGGGCCACAGAATCGTTACTTAGGGCCACAGAATTGTTACTTAGGGTTACAGGGACAGACACAGAATTGTTACTGAGGGACACAGAATTTGTTACTGAGGGCCACAGAATTGTTACTTAGGGCCACAGAAACGTTACTTAGGGCCACAGAATTGTTACTTAGGGACAGACACAGAATTGTTATTGAGGGACACAGAATTGTTACTGAGGGCCACAGAATCGTTACTTAGGGCCACAGAAACGTTACTTAGGGCCACAGAATTGTTACTTAGGGACAGACACAGAATTGTTACTGAGGGACACAGAATTGTTACTGAGGGCCACAGAATCGTTACTTAGGGCCACAGAATTGTTACTTAGGGACCACACACAGAATTGTTACTTAGGGACACAGAATTGTTACTGAGGGCCACAGAAACGTTACTTAGGGCCACAGAAACGTTACTTAGGGCCACAGAATTGTTACTTAGGGACAGACACAGAATTGTTACTGAGGGACACAGAATTGTTACTTAGGGCCAGGGGCCACAGAAACGTTACTTAGGGCCACAGAAACGTTACTTAGGGCCACAGAATTGTTACTTAGGGCCACAGAATTGTTACTTAGGGCCACAGAATTGTTACTTAGGGCCACAGAATATCGTTACTTAGGGCCACAGAATTAACGTTACTTAGGGACACAGAATTGTTACTTAGGGACAGACAGAATTGTTACTGAGGGACACAGAATTGTTACTGAGGGCCACAGAATCGTTACTTAGGGCCAGAAACGTTACTTAGGGCCACAGAATTGTTACTTAGGGCCACAGAATTGTTACTTAGGGACACAGACACAGAATTGTTACTGAGGGACACAGAATTGTTACTTAGGGCCACAGAAACGTTACTTAGGGCCACAGAAAACGTTGTTACTTAGGGCCACAGAATTGTTACTTAGGGCACAGAATTGTTACTTAGGGCCACAGAATTTACTTAGGGACACAGAATTGTTACTTAGGGACAGACAGAATTGTTACTTAGGGCACAGACACAGAATTGTTACTGAGGGCCACAGAATCGTTACTTAGGGCCACAGAAACGTTACTTAGGGCCACAGAATTGTTACTTTAGGGACAGACACAGAATTGTTACTGAGGGACACAGATTTGTTACTGAGGGCCACAGAATCGTTACTTAGGGCCACAGAAACGTTACTTAGGGCCACAGAATTGTTACTTAGGGACAGACACAGAATTGTTACTTGAGGGACACAGAATTGTTACTGAGGGCCACAGAAACGTTACTTAGGGCCACAGAAACGTTACTTAGGGCCACAGAAACGTTACTTAGGGCCACAGAATCGTTACTTAGGGCCACAGAATCGTTACTTAGGGCCACAGAAACGTTACTTAGGGACACACAGAATTGTTACTTAGGGACAGACAGAATTGTTACTGAGGGACACAGAATTGTTACTGAGGGCCACAGAATCGTTACTTAGGGCCACAGAAACGTTACTTAGGGCCACAGAATTGTTACTTAGGGACAGACACAGAATTGTTACTGAGGGACCACAGAATTGTTTACTGAGGGCCACAGAAAAACGTTACTTAGGGCCACAGAACTTAGGTTACTTAGGGGCCACAGAATTGTTACTTAGGGCCACAGAAACGTTACTTAGGGCCACAGAATTGTTACTTAGGGACAGAACAGAATTGTTACTGAGGGACACAGAATTGTTACTGAGGGCCACAGAATCGTTACTTAGGGCCACAGAAAAACGTTACTTAGGGCCACAGAATTGTTACTTAGGGACAGACACAGAATTGTTACTGAGGGACACAGAATTGTTACTGAGGGCCACAGAATCGTTACTTAGGGCCACAGACAGAATTGTTACTTAGGGCCACAGAAACGTTACTTAGGGCCACAGAATTGTTACTGAGGGACCACAGAATTGTTACTTAGGGGACACAGAATTGTTACTTAGGGACACAGAATTGTTACTGAGGGCACAGAATTGTTACTTAGGGCCACAGAGAATTGTTACTTAGGGCCACAGAAACGTTACTTAGGGCCACAGAATTGTTACTTAGGGACAGACACAGAATTGTTACTTAGGGACAGACACAGAATTGTTACGAGGGACACAGAATTGTTACTTAGGGCCACAGAAAATCGTTACTTAGGGCCACAGAAACGTTACTTAGGGCCACAGAATTGTTACTTAGGGACAGACACAGAATTGTTACTTAGGGCCACAGAATTGTTACTTAGGGCCACAGAATTGTTACTTAGGGACAGACACAGTTACTTGGGCCACTGAGGGACACAGAATTGTTAGAGGGCACAGAAACGTTACTGAGGGCCACAGAAACGTTACTTAGGGCCACAGAATCGTTACTTAGGGCCACAGAAACGTTACTTAGGGCCACAGAATTGTTACTTAGGGACAGACACAGAATTGTTACTGAGGGACACAGAATTGTTACTGAGGGCCACAGAAACGTTACTTAGGGGCCACAGAAACGTTACTTAGGGCCACAGAATTGTTACTTAGGGACAGACACAGAAATTGTTACTGAGGGACACAGAATTTGTTACTGAGGGCCACAGAATCGTTACTTAGGGCCACAGAATTGTTACTTAGGGGACAGAGGGCACAGAATTGTTACTTAGGGACCACAGAATTGTTACTGAGGGCCACAGAAACGTTACTTAGGGCCACAGAAACGTTACTTAGGGACACAGAATTGTTACTTAGGGCCAGACAGAATTGTTACTTAGGGACAGAATTGTTACTTAGGGCCACAGAATTGTTACTGAGGGCCACAGAATCGTTACTTAGGGCCACAGAATTGTTACTTAGGGACACAGAATTGTTACTTAGGGCACAGACAAATTGTTACTGAGGGACACAGAATTGTTACTGAGGGCCACAGAATCGTTACTTAGGGCCACAGAAACGTTACTTAGGGCCACAGAATTGTTACTTAGGGACAGACACAGAATTGTTACTGAGGGACACAGAATTGTTACTGAGGGCACACAGAATTGTTACTTAGGGCCACAGAAACGTTACTTAGGGCCACAGAATTGTTACTTAGGGAGGGCCACAGAATTGTTACTTAGGGCCACAAAACGTTACTTAGGGACACAGAATTGTTACTCAGGGACAGACACAGAAATTGTTACTGAGGGACACAGAATTGTTACTGAGGGCCACAGAATCGTTACTTAGGGCCACAGAAACGTTACTTAGGGCCACAGAATTGTTACTTAGGGACAGACACAGAATTGTTACTTAGGGACACACAGAATTGTTACTGAGGGACACAGAAACGTTACTTAGGGCCACAGAATTGTTACTTAGGGCCACAGAAAGGGACGTTACTTAGGGACACAGAAACGTTACTTAGGGACACACACAGAATTGTTACTGAGGGACACAGAATTGTTACTGAGGGCACAGAATTGTTACTTAGGGCCACACAGAATTGTTACTTAGGGCCACAGAATTGTTACTTAGGGACACAGACCACAGAATTGTTACTGAGGGGACACAGAATTGTTACTGAGGGACACAGAACAGGGCCACAGAAATTGTTACTTAGGGCCACAGAAACGTTACTTAGGGCCACAGAATTGTTACTTAGGGACAGACAGAATTGTTACTGAGGGACACAGAATTGTTACTGAGGGCCACAGAAACGTTACTTAGGGCCACAGAAACGTTACTTAGGGCCACAGAATTGTTACTTAGGGGACAGACACAGAATTGTTACTGAGAGGGACACAGAATTGTTACTGAGGGCCACAGAATTGTTACTTAGGGCCACACAGAATTGTTACTTAGGGACAGACACAGAATTTACTTACTGGGCCACAGAATTGTTACTTAGGGCCACAGAAACGTTACTTAGGGCCACAGAATTGTTACTTAGGGACACAGAGAATTGTTACTGAGGGCCACACAGAATTGTTACTGAGGGACACAGAATTGTTACTGAGGGCCACAGAATTGTTACTTAGGGCCACAGAAACTGTTACTTAGGGCCACAGAAACGTTACTTAGGGCCACAGAATTGTTACTTAGGGACACAGAATTGTTACTCAGGGACAGACACAGAATTGTTACTGAGGGACACAGAATTGTTACTGAGGGCCACAGAATTGTTACTTAGGGCCACAGAAACGTTACTTAGGAATTGTTACTTAGGGCAGAAAAAATTGTTACTTAGGGCCACAGAAAGTGTTACTTAGGGACCACAGAGATTGTTACTGAGGGACACACAGAATTG